AAGCTCTAGAAATCGCTGGTAGAATATTGCACACTTTTTTCGGGACACCCTGTATACTTCATCAAATACTGCATAGAAGTCAGTTTGCATTGTAATTATAATTAGGATCCTCATTTCTAGCACAAAAACATATGAACCTGAACTCAACGAAATTATGCGTCTTTATTATAAAAAATGTGGCTCAGAAGTTTGCGAGATGTCAAAATGTTTGATCGAATTACTTTCTTATTTGCCACATGAATAAAATCGTCAACCCAAAGGCTGCAAGTGAGGATAAATACAACTAATGAGGTTGGTTTGTTGGTAATGGAGTTGGGGTAAAGAGAGAGAAAGAAATTTCACGTGATTTAAACTGGGTTTTGTTTAGAACAACGTTTGTATAACCAACCTAACTTAAATCACTGAGAAATGCCATAGAGGGCTAGATCGTAGATAAAAGATTAGTGTGAAGATCACGAAAGTCATGGTTGGAAAACTTGAGATTTACAGACGTCTCAAGTTGGCTTACGACCTCTTGACAGCAAGACGGCGTAATACACGAAAGAATACATTTCCGCAATTTAGAACATTCTCTCTGAGCCAGTCATTTCTTCAATTCTTTAAACTGCTTCATGGTCTACAAAGTATAAAATGGCATTAAAACATATTCCAGAATAAAAACGGCTTGAATATGCTGACAATTATTAATAAAGGATAAGTAGATCCAAAATTAAACCAGCTGAAACAGCACGTGTACGTTTCGGCCAGCAAATAAATCATCAATCTATCGATCAAAATCGTGGAATACGCCAACGTCGAACATCCTTCAACAATGAGCTTCTCGCCGGCTAGATGGACATAAATATTCATGAGATCCCAGAATTGGATGGGGCAGGATTAGAGTCCACAATTTATTGGGAACTTCAAGGCCTTAATTATTTCGCTGCGCGTGGCTTCAGCGATGCCATACTAGATGTGTACTTGACTGCTGCAATCTTTTAAATTTACATGCCAAAAGCTACTGGTTGGTACGCAGACTGCTCGGCTACTGGAGATGAAGCTGCAGCTGGGGTTTATGGGGCAAGGCCAAAAACTGAGATCTCTATGAGTCTAGGTAATATTGCAACAATATTTCAGGCCATACATATCTGCGCAAAAGAGCTGATAAGGAATTAGACTGCAAATCAGTCCATCGCCATCTGTTCAGACATCCAGGCACCATAAAGAGCTAGGAAGCCGAAACAAGGTAACATTGCACTGGGTACCAGGACATGAAGGGAACAAAGGAAATGAAAAGGTGGACAAGCTAGACCGACAGGGGGCGGCCAATCGCCTAATAGGATCAGAGCCAGACGAGAATACGCACTAAACAGTCCATCAGAAATTGGACCAAGCAAAAGTCCCTAGAATGGTGGAACAGTCAATTGGGGCACAAGCAGGCAAAACAGTCCATCAAAAAACAGAGGACCTACTCGAATCCAATTGGAAGGCCATAGTGGGTCTTATGACAGGACACTGTAGACTAAATCGACCTATGAGGCTCTTGGGTCTGCAAACAGCATGAGAAAACCTCAGTGCATCTCCCGTGTCACCGTAAAGGCCTGGCAAGGCTACAGTTTGAGATAGTAAGAACCACAGGTCCAACAGCGGAAAGCCACATGCAAAACCCTGGGTCAAGGCTATGGAGTCTCATTTAAGGATCACGGCTGGACACAGTGCTTTAGAAAGCATAATAGGACTACAATAGATCCACTTGGGTTACAATGACGTTAAGGCTGTAATCTGTAAGGATAAAATCACACTTGGTTCTTAATCCCAATTCAGGAGTGTTTGGAATGATATTTGATGTGCTGATCAGTGACAAATATGATCGTTTCATCAGTAGAAGGACTGCGATTATCTGGGTCGCGACCAGCCATTTACGTACACTAAAGAGTAAAGTGGTTCCAGGTGTAATACCTGTGATCCCAAAGTCATTCCATTCCAAATAGTGATGGCTACGAAACAACGAATTTATCTGTTGTTGGTTCATCGTATACAATAAATCTATCTTCAGTATGCCATTCACTTCGGTGAACCCTGTACGCGCCACTTGAATGTTGATGACGAGAACCGATTGATAAAAATCAGCATATTCAGTTCACCATGTGTGTCATCATGCATGTACGTGTTGTGCATACAAATTAAGACAAAAATACAGCGACATGTGGATGATTGGATCCTGGATATTCAGGACATCCACGTTCCGACAACTTGTTTGACGTATCGATTGCCCCTGTTGTTCCCGTCAACAATAAATCTGCTATTTTATCATGAATATTCTATTTTCGTATTTTTAGCGGTCGTGGATCTATACACGATCCTTGTATCCAGGCGCGGATCCAGGGAGGCGACGGGGCAACGGTGCCATTGCCCCCTCCCCCCAGGTCTGAGACTCACAGGAAACAAAATAAGGAAATGGGCTTGACAATACATGAAAGTAGGCAATCCACACTACTTGCATCCTCCCCCCTCAAGACATGATCCTGGATCCACACCTGCTCGAAGGCGCTTGTCATAGGCTCAGAACTTGCCTTGGAGGTGCCAAAAAGCACTATAAGGAACCAAGTCAAAGAATGGGCGGGAATATTGGCACTCAGTTATTGGATGCAGGCATGGGAAAGAATTTATCTGGCGTCCAAATAGTAGAAAACAACTCCGTGTAGTAACAAGAACACAATGGCCTGAAAGGAGACCAGCGCAAAATAGGGCTGCAGACAATGCGGAAAAGGAAGAGAATCAGTCCTACATGTCTTATGTGAGTGTTAGGCACTGCATCACAAAAAACCAAAACTAGAACCAAGGGAGTTTAGAACAGCACCGGCAGGGAAGCTGTACCAACTGGTACAGAGCATTAGACGCTGGATTGGGTACTGAAATTCGAGGAGCAAGGTACAATAAGCCCAAGACGCTGCAGTGCTATCTGGGACGGCTACTGGAAAGGGTAAAAAATGAGAATTTCACACAATCAATATTGAACAAGTGATGAAAACGGAATACTTGGGAATCAAACTGTCAAGCTATGGAAAAGTGGAAGAACTACAAAAACAAGTGAACATGCCTAACAGAGCTGAAGGATGTCTCAACAATACAATCTGGAGAAACATATACCTCACAACGGAAACGAAAACTAGGATATATAAATCAACAATAAGACCGAAAATGACGTACACAGTGGAAACAAGAGCAGATACGGCGAAAACAAAGATTATTGGAAACACCAGAAATGAAAGTCTTACGAAAAATAACAAACCAAACTCTAAGAGACAGAGTAAGAAGTGAGGAAATACGAGCGAGATGTGGTATAGAGGAAATAAACCTGTGGACCAAAAGAAGAAAAATATAGTGGAATCAACACATAGAAAGAATGACAGAAAATAGAATAGCAAGAGACAAATCGCGAAATGAAAGAAGATCAATGGGATGACCGAGGAAAAGGTGGTCAGACAACATCATTTGAGGCTAAAAATCGAAGTAAAACAGGCATGAGCCTATTAATAAAGTAGGAAGAAGAAGAATATTTATTATGATCCGTCAGAACTTATCATGGAATGTTATAATAATTGACCGTAAGGACTGGACGTGAGTAATTATTGATACTACAGATCACAGTTAATACAGCATTGAGCTCATAACCATACACAGTGCCCAACGGCCTTACAAGAACAATAAAGATAAGATCTAGCGTCTATTTGGCGCGATAGTTTAAGTCATTCTCAGTGATTATTGACTAAAATTTATGTAATTTTTAGCTGACTAGGGATTGAAATAGGACAGGACAAAGTGCCGTCTGTTACCAGAATCTACCTCTGCGATAGTGGAAACAGCAAGCTGCATGTTGGAACTGTATCCCAATTCGCATTTGACAGTCGGGTCTTCACTGTGGCCGCTAGATGCCGTCGACCCTGGCGGTATAGCAGATGCAGTCTACTCGCCAATGAACAAACTAGATAGATGTTTCGTGTTATTTAGCAACTCACCCGCATGGTCTAGGCTTAGTCTTAGGTAAGACAACAAACGAAAGCTGAGCAATTATCCTCTATCCAGGATACAGCTCCAGCCAACGAAATCAGACTACGTAGGAGGATCAAGCCAGAACTTCAGTCTACAGTCAGGATGAAGTGCATATTATAAATGAACTTGACGTAAGTTAATTTTTGACAGTTTTGTCTTTAAAATCTTATTGATAGTGTCATTTTTTGAAAGTGTTTGCAGATAATGTGGTGTTATACGATTCCAGGACTTGATACTTCTGGCATAATTTGTAAAAAACGGCATAAGCCTAATGAAGGTAGATCTTTCCACCGGTAGGTATTATTATTATTATGTTGATAGAACTTTGTCACAAAAGTGTGCACTAAAATTAGGCAATTTTGGCGACAAACGCAATGTAAACATACTGGCTTGACTCCTAATTTATTCAAATTCGTTGGTTCCAGCAGACAGCTTGCCTCCCCTTGAACACTTCGAATTATAACTTGGAAAGTATCGGTCCAGTCGTCTTCAGAAAAAAAAACGGTAGTGGTTAAAATTGGAAATGAATGTTGAAGAGGAGGGGGGGGGGGGTTATACCTCAATTTTTTGGGGTTAGTTATATTTATAAGCTTCCAACACTGGTAATTTCAGAAAAAAAAAATTGCAAGGGTTAAACATCGTGCACCTATTCGACATATTTTACACATCATAGATTTCCCCATAAGTTTGCTGGCAAAACTGCGGTGAAATATTTTCAACACCCGCGTCTCTGGATATACCTGCGACCGGGGTCTGACCGACGGGTGGCTCGCGAGTGACGAGATTAGTCATAGCAGCGTTGCCAGATGGTACTAATCGGCAGGGCAAGAGAGAAATTACTAGGTAGGAACGGTGTTAAATGGGTGGCGATTATGGTACGTCGCATTGTGTGTTATGTTACTCCACTACTCTTCCGTTCTGGTACCCGAGTATAGGATACGTTTCTTGGTAACCCAGTTTCTACTCCAATGCCTGAAAACCTTCTGAAAGAAGGCGAATGTTACACCTATGCTGTTTCTGACAACTTGTAGTAAGTAGAATGAGGTTAGGCCTCGTTTTCGCGAACAACGTAATGGAGTTTCCTCGGTAATAATTGGTAATTTATCTGCGAGGGAAGCCGTATTTAGAACTAAAGTTGCTCTAACGAGACGGAAAATTGCATGGGAGTGGTGGAATGGAAGTTTTCCAGCTCGGAAGTTGCTGATACTGCGCGGCAAAGGACGACACCAATACTTGTGGCGCACTAAGCGGCAGCAAGTAAAGGACACCGTTCGTTTAAAAATAGCATCGAAGGACAACCAAAACCAATGTACCTACATTTTATGACAAAAGGCGGCAAGTAGATTGACACTCATTCCCATGCGATTCTAGACTAATGGACTTACACCGCAACATGTATAGTTTTATCTAAATCAAGTCTTTCACAGCCTTGTACCTTCACTATAAAAGTCCTTGTATCTTGACATAAAGCCGAAGGGCAAAAAGAGTAACAGTGAAAAACGGTATGATTAAAAAAAATCTAACTTTTGTACGTTCTAGTACTCACACTGTTCTCCGGACTGGTGATGTTATAAAATTCATATAACTGAATTATTAATATAATTTTTTCTTGAATAATCAGCTCTGACTATACATGCTGCACAATATCTGGTCAATTTTCTGATATCATTACACAGTTACGCGTCGTTGACGACCTCGATGACCGATACAGCTGCGGCTAAAGCGCCATCAGCAACAGTGAATTCGGATCGGACCCTCCGCAGGTAAAGGATATCGCATGTTCCTGGATTTTTGGTGTTGCTGGAGTCACAGATGCAAATATTATGCAAAGTATGTAGAAACCCATTTCAAAAGTGGTACATTATTTTCTTCCATCCATTTTATAGCCTTTTTTGAGGTATGGCACGCTGCACCATCTTGCTGAAACACAAAATCTTGGCCGGATGTCAAACATTCTTCCATCACTGGTAAAAGCGATTCTTCTAAAATTGCCAAATATTTGTTTGTATCCACATTTCCATCAATAAAATAAAGTTTTCCTACTCCTCTTGATGACATACTGCCCCAGACCATAACGGATGCCGGAAATTTCACTTTTCTCTTCAGACAGTCAACATGGAATGCTTCATTTTTTTGCGAATAACTCTGCTGCGACTGTCACCAACACAAACTTCGAATCGGGCCTCATCACTCCATTGTATTGCACACGACTGTTGAGGTGTCCATTGTCTATGTTCTTTAGCCCATCTAAGCCGATTTTTTTGCAGTGGAGTTAATAGTGTCTTTTCTTTGGCCTATAAACAAGTTGTGCAACTTTAGGGTTTTTACTTCACTTTTTTTTATAAGAAAACTTACCCTTCAAGTGCTAAATCCCAGTTTGTGGGCCTCTCTATGAGTTGTGGACCTCGAAATTCTCCTTCCAACAGCATCACTCCACAGAGCACTCAATTGTAAATAATTGGCACGCCTGTTTTTCACGATTATTCTTCTTAATGCTCTTCGGTCGGCATTTGTGATATTACTTTTCTTCACATATAGTGGCTTAATATTAACTGAACCAGTTACGTTATATCTTCTAACAATATCTCTCACACTGTACCGCGATAAGTCTAATAAAGTTGCAATTTCTGAGTTTGATTTCCCAGAATTTTCACGATTATTCTTCTTAATGCTCTTCGGTCGGCATTTGTGATATTACTTTTCTTCACATATAGTGGCTTAATATTAACTGAACCAGTTACGTTATATCTTCTAACAATATCTCTCACACTGTACCGCGATAAGTCTAACAAAGTTGCAATTTCTGAGTTTGATTTCCCAGAATTAAAAAATTTAATCATCAGTAACCGAATTTTCTTACTAATAACCTTTCCTCTACCCATTCTGAAAACCTTAACTACACAAAACTATTTTAAACGTATCCTGACAGCTGTGATTAATAAAAACAATTGTCATGGCTTTTATTTTTCACAGCCACCTACGCGTTATAGACTTATTTTGCATTGAAATGAAAATAGGTTGATATGCTGTAATTGCAACATGTGTCATTTTTATGCTGCAAATTTGATTAGGGAGTGATAAAGTTGAGTATCAAAATATTCATTGATAATATTTTAAACCTATAACACCTTGCTACATTTTTATTATTTGTGTTTGATAAGAAAAAAACTAAGATTTCAATAGTTGGGCCAACTGAAGTGGGAAGTGGCTTGTATGTGAGCAAAATTAGCTTATGAATATGATCGAGGATCATCGTAGCAAGGATACAAGCGCTAGACTGGCACACGCACTGGTGACTACTAATGCTTGAATGTTTATTCCCGCTTATTCATTCATTCACTAGACCAAGTCAAAATAAACATAATAAAATAACGACGATTCATTATTGGAAAGGTGCGCAATAGGAAATATCAACACATTATATCGCATAAAGTTTTGAAATGACCCTGTCAAACCAGCGTTTCGTAACATAGTGAAAAGCAGCTCCTACCTTATTAGCATATTAAATATTTACCATGCTCATTTATTTACTTTTTAACGGCGGATGATCTCATACAAGAAATATTTTACGATATCTAGCGAGTTGTCGAGCGTAGTGTCAAAGCCCTCGTATCGACAGCAATATAGGTACATCAACTTTACCGAAGACAAAGATTGCCGAGCGAGCGAGGTCAAGAAGTTTGAAACACTTAAAGTTTGGAAACTTTTGTGGGCTTTGGGCGATCGTATATTACGGGAAACTTTGATAAGCTATTTTAGTTCATGAAAAATGTACTGGCGACCTCAGTTCACTTAATTTTAAGAGAACATATCCTATTTGCTGTAACTTTGAACCTAAAATTTGTGAAACAGGCGCATAATGAACCTAAAAAGAATTTCAGCTATAGTCTCAAATTTGACCAATTAAAAAAAAAAGGATTTGTGGCCTGCTCGAAACAGCTCAAGCCAAATAATACAGGGTGTAAACATTATGGTAGTCATTATTGAAATGGGTAATAAGGGGGTCAAAACAAGTCAAAAAGTTCATATAATCCATGGTCCAAAAGTCAATAGATTTTTATCTAAGTGGCTTTATAGTAAACAACTTTAAGTGCTTTATATCGACCGCAATCACCACAATATTACTAATTTTTATAATCTAATCTAAAACGTTTTTAAATTGGGTAATTAACAAATAAATGGCGTTAAGTTTTTCTAAGTTAAGCCAAAATTTGTAGTCAGTAAGTAAGTTTCATTAGATTAAATATTTGAAACACACGTGACAACAGCGCGTCGGTATTTCATCACTCTTATCGAACCGGCAGTCGATCGCAAACGGTAACAGTGGTTAGTTATCGTTTTGCGTAGATAAATTACTTTATCGTTTTGTCGAACAGAGCATCGGGCGTGTTGTTTTGTTTTTGTTCGCGTACGTCGTCGTGTTTATTTACAATGTTCTCGAATCAAGAGTTCGCCAACAAGTTGTTAGTTTACGGTGAAGCTAGTCAGCATTCAAATCTTGCAGCTCAAATGTATCGCGACAGATTTCGCCAACGGGTACACCCAGACAGAAGGGCATTTGTGCAAGTGTACCAAAGACTTCGAGATACAAGAAGTGTTCAGTCTACTAATATTCGCACTCGTGAAAGACAGGTTACTGTAGAGCAGGAGGAACAAATTTTAAATATCGTGGAAATCAATGCAGATGTCAGCACTCGGGAATTAGGCCGCGGCGTAGGACTATCGCATACCTTAGTCCATAGAATCCTAAGGGAAAATTTGCTTTATCCCTATCATGTACAACGACGGACGAATGTACTTTTACGCGAGACGGGATATTAAATTTCCATAATACTCACACGTGAGCCCAAGAAAATCCTCATACCATTCGTGAAGGCCATTTTCCAATAACATTTTAAAATAAATATTTGGTCAAGTATTCTTGACGATCAGGTAACTGGCCCTTTCAAGTTACCTCCAAAGTTGTCAGAAGAAGGATACCTTAGCTTTCTAGCCAATAACCTGCCCGAACTTTTGGAATAGACCTTAGACAACATGCCATTACAACGGAGACAGAATTTGTGGTTTCTTCATGACGGGGCACCACCACACATATTTAGAAGCGTCATTCAGTATTTGAATGAACATTATCTAAATCGCTGGATCGGTCGAAATGCTCCTGATCCTCGAAAATGACCACCAAGATCTCCTGACCTCAATCCGATGAATTTCTGGTATTGGGGAGAACTTAAAGGAATGATTTATAGGGCTGATCCAATAACAACTGAAGCACAACTTCGCGAAAAAAAATTTAATGCGGCTGAAATAATAAATGGACAACTTCGAGGACCTAGAGTAAGAAGAAACTGGGTTCGTCGTAATGAAGCTTGTGTGGAGTGGAGGACGAGATTTTGAACACCTTCTTTAAATACAAAAAAAGTGCAGTGTAGGTTTTAAAAAGAAAAACAAAGTATGTATCAAAATTGTGTTCCCTATTTATAAGTGGGTTTTTTTCAATACATTGCAGCAATTGATGAGCCTTATATTGAAAATAAGTTCACTACTTTCTGAGAAAGATAAAAGCAAGGATATATTTTTAACAATTTAGGTTAGCTCCAAAACCTATTTTTTCTGAATTTGGGTTTTGTATCAGGTCAAACTAGATCAATGACCTGTGTCCTTGCGTACAAATTTCTGCTTAATAAATTCTTCGATAACATAAATAAAATTACAGAATGCTTATTCTTTAAGAAACATGGAGTAAATATTAAATTTACTTCACTACCGCACAATCAATTAATGTGACCAGTGACGATAATTCTGACAGCTGTACCTATTGGGGCGCTGGTATTCCTCATATATACTTTCGACTTAAGCAAAAGTATTGATAATTCTCATATCCAGTCTTTTGACCATAATCTATTATTAATCCACAAAAATAAAAATGAAGGAAAAACTACAATGTAGCTTGAACATTCAAATAAATAACAAGTTTTATCAATTGTGTGATTCTGGTGTTGTTATTTGATATATAATTGAGGTTTATTGAGC